ACTTAGGTAGCTTTTGCAAAGCAATAAACAGGTAGCCTTATACCTGGATTAAGTACATTTCTTGTCTACTGGAATAGGTAGATGTAGGCGATGCTGCCAGAAATGGATGTGTGCGATGAATAAACAAACCACAAGATTGAAATGCGGTGTCCAATGATCTTTGTATTGCCTTTTTTATTGCCTTACTAGAAAATTCTGTTGGGTATATGATGGAGTTTACTAGAACTTTACATCTTGTCGTCTGCCTTCTTCTACAAACTTCACCAAATCGAGGCGCTGTCAACCTTATCCTCCGATGAAGGCGCGACAAAGTACAGTCCTGTTACTTGGTGACTTGTTCGATCTGCAAAATCTAGTCCTCACTTTTTTTAAGTTTCGCTTAGCAACCTCCAAATCAATCTAGTTAAAGTCACGTTTTTGCTTGAATTCGCCATAAAACTATTCATTTTCTTTGGAATTGCTATCCGAATTGTTAGTTATTTTTATATTAGCTTTTTTTGGTCTGAGTTTCTTTTCAATATTCTTGCGGTTGAGTCTTTGTTCCATCTTAGCGAGAAGCGAGGTTGGACTAATCTTAGAACGCAAATGTATTTAGACCACATAGACAGGCCGGTGGGTATTGTAGCTCACTACAGCTGCAGCACATCTTCCATGGTATGACCTCTTCTTGCAATAATTTATTCTCTTACCACAATGTATTTTGTGATTATACAGTTGAACTGCTCCACACTATTGTTGACCTCATCACGAATTAAACTCAGTGTATTCGTAATTAAAATGGTCGCATATGACCCTTTATTGTCCATTGTCAGCCTTGATAAAAAAGGCACTCAAGAACAATGACACCAACAAAAGTACAGCACAACAATTGAACAATACAATATCAACGAACACTAACAAGAGGAGAAAAATACTAAATGATGACTTGCTGAGTACCAAAATAAGAAACGATTTACATTCTAGATCGCTAATCGAAATCCGATTCTGTTATTATAAAAATTTACCTTGGTATGCACCTGCAGTCATCATTTCCTCGTTTAGAGTAGCGCCGACGACCATCTAGGGCCAGCTCACCCTCGTTTCCTTTTCATCTCCCCCCGTTATCTCAGCAGATGGTGCTCGTGATTGTAGGAGCCCCGTTAATGCATGGTACGGTTAGATGTAGTTAGAAGTTTGATCAACAAGATTCGGTTGTATAAAATGGTCATGAGACCCGCAATCACCTACGTATGCGCGGCTTGGTGTTTGCTTGCCAAGACGCACATGCAGAGACTACAAGTCCTGCAAAACAGAACCCTACGAAAAATGACAAACGCCCCTCGGTACGTGTCAAATGAGACCATTCACAGAGACCTTGATATCTCATATCTAAGGGATTATGTAAAGCAACAGGCACAGCGGCGTTATAATCAAGCCGAATCATACAGCAACACATGGTTACGTGACTCAGTAGACTACACAGTCGAGCAAGTTTGCAAACACTCCAGGCCGCTCCTCGCACTGTGATCAAAATTAAATTGTGAATTTCAGACCAGCCAAAATCATGTCATTATACCAAACCGATCAAAATTATTTTTTGGAGTTACAAAATTATTCTAGTAGTCAAAGCAATAATGCTTAAGCTATTTGAAATGATTCACTTCTTTTCCTCCTGCCCTCCTTTCCTTCCTTCTTTCCTTTTCCCCTTAAACATGTTTGGTATCTGGGTAGGCAGACCTGACAGACTAACAGTATGTACAATCAGCTAAGAAACTCTCCTGTCAGTCTCAAAAACGGCCGCCATTTCGGCGGAGAAAATCGCATGTAAATTCTCCTAGTACAGCGGTGAAAGCGGTGAGTATTAAGCAGCAGCCGGTGTTGCCTCATATCATGCTAGCAGCCGCAGATATTCTTTGCAATCGTAAAATGATATTTAGATATGATCTTGTATAGTTTGTGTGAATCAATAATAAAAAGGAGTATGTTGGTTCAAGAAGGAAGCGAGGGATAATTACTTATTTATGAAAAACCTTCAAAATGGATTTGTATGGGTGGAAGTGTTTAAAATAAACGTAAAAACATTTACTTTTACTGTGTCTTCCACCTTTTTTTGCAAATGAATAGATACGTTACATTTTCAATGTGAGAAGTGCTAAAAACACCAGACAGATACAACCTTCACTCAATCACAAGAATTTCGGTGTCTTTGTCACAGAAAAAACGATAACACATGACTCTTTAAATGAGAGATTTAAGAAACATTGTTCATTAGTAAAGTTAAGCCATTTTGCACAACTATTTTTGTATTTGTCGCTCATTCCAAACTCATTTAAAAAATTTATGTGTTGTCATGTAACTATATCACCTCGTGGAGAGCGGCATATTTTCCAAGTAAGGAAGGTATAGTTGCTTACAATTTTTATAACCAACTTTTGTAGGTATTTAGAGTATAGGAACTACTAAACTCGCAGTGTATAGAAGCATCCTAGCTGAGGAGTCGTCAGCTGTGTGAGGTTTGATTGCGATAATTTAGCAGTGCTTCCATTGTAAATGGAATGGATTGAGAATATCGCAGCAGCAAAGAACCCATGGCAAAGGTAAATAGTTTTCTGTTTATGAATACTTCCACCAATACGATTTTATTTTAAAACAATTTCATAAATAATTAATAATCAATACTTCGTTGCTTCTTTTTCAAAAAACATATTCCTTTTTATTATTGGTTCAGACAAACTACACCAGATCATATCGGCATGGTATAATTTTATCGATAGCAAATAATATTTGCGGCCGCTGGCAGGGTACGTGGCAACACCGCCTGCTGCTGAGCACTAAAACCTCTCACTGTTGTACTGGAAATATTTACATTCGGCTTTTTCTGTCGAAATGGCGGCCGTTTTTGACACTGATAGGAGAGCTTCATAGCTGATTGTTTTCTAAACAGTGGTTGTATAGTTGTATGTTTAGGTGGACGAGATTCTCAATTTTCTATGGAAACGCGTCTGTACCACACATTTGGAATGGTGGCATCAGGGGCTATTGCTTACAGAAACAAATGACCTTTAGTGCTGATCAGAGGCAACATGTCCGAGGTACGTTAAAACCAGGAGGTGAGGGAACCACATGTTTTGTCTTTGATACGGATACTCACCAGTCCACTGTTCCAACAAAATAAATGCGCGACCACATATATAGCCAAAAATTTTTAATACACCTTGTAATAAACTCATTATTACAAGGTGTCCTTTTTACATGTCACTTGGTACAGTCAATGGGAGGTGATTTCAGAAACCAGAAGTAGATGACGCTAATTGGGTTGGCGCTTATGAAGATGTCAATTGCTGATGTGCTGTTCGCGTCCATAGCCGTCAAAACGTGATGGAGTATCGTGAAAAACTTCTCCATCAAACTTGTCGTTTTCTACTTTTGAATGTTTGACCTCAATTCACACTAGCGAAGCCTAGCCGCAGCGAAATTGGGTATGCGTATCATTGTCAACGCGTGGTAACAAGTTGAGGAATGAATTTTGGAAAAACTGGTTTTGCTCCTTTTGCCTCATATATTAAAAGTATGCCATCTTAAGAAGAATTACATATAAAAAAACAGTAAAAACGACATCATTACCGTAATAAAACAAAATCGTTGAAGTATCTAAGTATTTGCATAGACGCACACTTCAGATCAGATGAGCACATAATATATGCAGCCAAAGAATTACAATAAATTCTGTATCTTAAACAAAATTTATCAAAAATGTAGTGGAATACTGCCTATTAAGAACATTATACTGTGCATTGGTAGAATCCGACTTGAACTATCGCGTAATGGCAAACGCGGCTCATATATTTAAACTTTAGTGACCAGCTGCATTAGGAAACTGGCATTTTAGATATAAGACAACTATACATATTCAAAGCTTTGACTGTGTAACACGAAGCTCATCCATCAATCCAAGATTCGCTGCGTACTTACTTCCACAGAAACAAGAATCATATGAAAGTCCCTTCCACAAATTTGAAACTCATTTAAAAGAAAAGTGCAAGACTGGATAATTTCTGTGCCCAGAAAGGAAGATCATGAAATTATTGACACAATGTCACCGTTAATATGTAACGCCATTATACTAAAATAATGCCTTACCAAAGAGGAATAATATCTACGCCCAAAAAGAGAGCTCAGCAAATTATTGATATAGAAAAGTCACTGTTAGTATGAAAAACGAACATACGAAGATGAACTTGCCAATTTTGCCAATATACTATACTAATAATCCCGATTTTGTCAGCATACTCGATAATTCCCTATGAAACAGAGGGGACAAATAGTCCTGAATGTAGACTCAATATTTGACAAAAATACAATTCGTGATCACTTGAAATTACCCTTGCTGTGGCAGGTAATACGTTTTCAGAAATTTTATGTAATACCTCCAGTTTGATATTACGTGTAAATCTTAGGTCATTTCAAGTCATTTTTATGTACTTCCTAGAAGTGATTTTTTATATACTCGGACATACCCTCATACAAGGCTAGCCTTTTGCGGGTTTTGTTTTATGTTCATTAGTTTAAGACATTTTTTTTTTAAATAAACATTATTATTATTATTTATTATTTCAAATGATCCACCAAAGTAATCCGAAGCGTGCCTTAGCGATAGAATGCTTTGTTTGATCAAGCGTTTGTTCGAATGATATTAAAGCGGTCTGGTTCACAGATTTCCAATTTCATCAATATTTCGCATACAGAATCCGCATTTATATTATAAGCCGTCGCAGATCACTTTATGCGCTCCAATTTTATTTGTTGGGCGCTTATTTATACGCTCGATGATGTTTTCACAGCCCACAGGAAATTAGCGTCGATACGGTGAAATATTCGGAGATTTAGTCCAGTCACTGTGGTACAATTGTAAGTACGTAAGTAGGTGACTAGCCCTCTGATTTCATAAAAGCTGTTTTGCAGTCCGCAAGATCATTGCATGCAATCAGTTGCAATTGCAGATGCGCAAGGTTAGCCAATGAATGAAATGTCGCATTCCTAACCTGTCATTGTGGTATTGTTTTTTACCTTTTAGATCACATCGTTTCAATGTGAAAAAGCTAGTTTTAATCGTCGACCATCCAACATCACACCATTAAATATAGTTTATTCACTGAAACAAAGCAGTTACGACATATTTAGTAAATTTAAATGCCAACCTTAATGCAAAATAGATCCTAAATTGGTATGCTGTTCACAGTTTTCTGTGTTGTGATATTATCGCGAAGCTTGTCAGGCAATTATGCCAACGACTGTTGTTCATTTGTCGTTTATTTTCGTTCTTTTTGACTCAATATTTGCATTGGTATTTTATAAGAATAATTTTTTTCAAAATTTTGACGTGTCCTATTAGCAATTTTGCTAAAATGCCGAAACCTCTTTCACGAAATATTTTGAGACCGAACGAGATCATGGAGCTCCATTATTGCCTTTACAGTCAGTAAGAGAGTTATTAGGTAGTAAATAGAATTTATAGAACTCAAGCGTTTACAAAACATACGCTCCGTAATTTTCGTTACGGTAAGGCATCGACGGCATAAAGTAGATTTGGTGTGCGTCACTATTTGACGTAGTGACGTAACTTGATCCAGTGAATATCATCGGGCCTGTCTAGGGATATTAGCATTCATTGCTAACTTGTAAGTTAATAAACATTCCACAAGAATTGCAGACAAATTGGAATGAAAAATCCAGCTGATTGATTTTAGCGACTCAGCAGTTGCAAGCGAGTGACAGGAAGAACCTATTTTTTAGTGCACATGCTTTTGATCAAGACGCCTCTTGCATGTTGCTGACTGTACAACGGGTATAGAGGGCAGGATGTTGTTGACAACAAAAGAAACTAAATGGAATTCGTGGTCTGTATTGTTTTTGGTAAGTAGAGATAATGGCTGAAATCAATTATGCATTATAAAAATATGAAAAAAAAGATACCTTGTTGCTGGCAGCTGGTCATTTTAGGGGGCACATGTTTGGAAAATACAGGGTGTAAACGTTATGGCAGTCATTATTGACATGGGTAATAAGGGGGGGCTCAAAACAAGTCAAAAAGTTCATATGACCCATGGTCCAAAAGTCAATAGATTTTTGTATAAATGGATTTATAGTTTACAACTTTAAGTAATTTATATCGACCACAATCACCACAATCTTACTAATTTTTATAATCTAATCTAAAACGTTTTTAAATTGGGTAATTAACAGATAAATGGCATTAAGTTTTTCTAAGTTAAGCCAAAATTTAGTCAGTAAATAAGTAAGTTTCTTTAAATTGGATATTTAAAACACACGTGACAACAGCGCGTCGGTCATCATAACCCTTATCGAACCGGCAATCGATCGCAAACGGTAACAATGGTTAGTATGTAGTTTTGTTTTTGTTCGCGTACGTCGTCGTGTTGATTTACAATGTTCTCGAATCAAGAGTTCGCCGACATGTTGTTAGTCTACGGTGAAGCTCGTCAGAATTTAAATCTTGGAGCTCAAATTTATTGCGACAGATTTCGCCAACGGGTACATCTAGACAGAAGGACATTTGTACAAGTGTACCAAAGACTTCGAGATAGAGGAAGAGTTCAGCCCACTCGTGAAAGGCCGGTTTATTTAACATATCGCGGAAATCAATGCAGATATCAGTACTCGGGAATTAGGCCGTCGCGTAGGACTATCGCATACCATACTCCATCGAATCCTAGGGAAAAATTTGCTTTATCCCTACCATGTACAACGAGTGCAGGCCAGGTTACCAGAAGACTATCCTCGCAGACTAACATGCACAAAAACATTGAAAATCCGGATTTTTTTAAAAACATTCTACCGACGGACTAATGTACTTTTACGCGAGACGGGATATTAAATTTCCATAATACTCAAGCGTGGGCCCAAGAAAATCCTCATGTCATTCGTGAAGGTCATTTCCAACTACGTTCTAAAATAAATATTTGGGCGGGTATTCTTGACGATCAGGTAATTGGACCATTCGAGTTACACCCAAAGTTGTCAGGAGAAGGATCCTTAGCTTTCTAGCAAATAATCTACCAGAACTTTTGGAACAGACTCTAGACAACATGCCATTACAACGTAGACAGAATTTGTAGTTTCTTCATGACGGGGTACTACCACACGTTTTTAGAGGTGTCATTCAGTATTTGAATGATTATTATCCAAATCGCTGGATCGGTCAAAATGCTCCTGATCCTCGAAAATGGCCAGCAAGATCTCCTGACTTCAATCCGATGGATTTTTGGTATTGGGGAGAACTTAAAGGAAAGGTTTGTGGCGCTGGTCCAATAACAAGTAAAGTACAACTTAGCGAAAAAAAATTTAATGCGGCTGAAATAATAAATGGACAACTTCGAGGACCTAGAGTAAGAAGAATCTGGGTTTGTCGTAATGAAGCTTGTGTGGATAGTGGATGACGACATTTTGAACACCTTCCTTAAATACAAAAAAGTGCAGTGTGGGTTTTAAAAAGAAAAACAATGTATGTATCAAAATTGTGTTCGTTATTTATAAGTGTATTTTTTTAATACGTTCAATAAACTTTCAAACACCAGGTGAAGCGCTGAGACAGTTAGCAGTAAGTCCGTTTTTTTTAAATGTTTGCATTTTACGAGTACATTGTCAAATAATGAAATAATACCTAGGAGGCAAAAATAACAAACATTGCGCTCCGTCGTAATTTTCATCTGGAATTGCGGCGTTGTCAGATTTTATTTTACTTTAAGTCGCTTTTCTCTGATAAAATGCCGTTTTGACCCCCATGTCATATGAAACTTTTTGATTCCTTTAACCCCGTCTATCACCCATTTAAATAATGACTATCATAACGTTTACACCCTGTATATCAATTTACGATTATGGCAGCGCGAAAAAGTAGCGGAATTGAAATTCAACTTGTTTGTAAAAGCAAAAGCTACAGCAGCATATTTTACTGAATCACTTGGTGTTCCTGCTACAGAAACCGTTTTCGGTATTCTAGAGTTTCCATAGAATAACTTTCTATGCATACACAACACATTCTGATGATCATCAATGTTTTTCTGGCTGAATCACACCAAACATATATGTTCAAGATTTCTCTTTATTATGTAGGAACTGGATTTGAAAACTTGTGGACTTTTCACCCTATGCTTAGCATTCTAAGTCAGTGTCAAGTCTTGTCATGTATGATATTTACTTTTTTCTTCCGACAGGTTATGGGCCCAGAAGAGGTCAAGTGGTTGACTTTTGTAATCCAGATTGAGCGAGCAGTATAAACGATCGCAGATCGGTCAAAGGGTACGTGTTCACGAAGAATGGGACAGCTATCTCTTGAGAAACCAGAAAGCAGACCATAGTCGCTCTCTCGACAACGGAAAGTATGTGGCTATGTAGCAGCTCAAGAAGCGTTATGGTTCAGAAGACAGAAGAGAAGTTGGGACAGAATGCTACATGTAGACAACCAAGGTGCACAGAGCCCTGCAGTCAATTGAGCCTATCATCCTAGGACGAATCACATAGATGTCAGCACGATTTCATTAAGGAGAAGTTTGAGGAAAAGCTCCTAGAACTAAGGTGCATTTTCACGGGCCAGAAGGTATCAGACATTCTAACAAAGCCAGTCGAAAGGAAGAAGCATCAGTTTCATGTCAGGAGCCAAATTTTGAAGGACTGCAAACAGATGAGGTGGTCAGTGTCAAATTTTTGTTACGTAAGATATGTAATCTTTTCTTTCAACTTGTATATTTAAAATCAAGTTCCACTGGAAACCTCTAGTTGCCATAACATTAAGTGGTGTAGGCCCTCTTGGCAAGCTTTAAGAATGGTTCAAAATTTTAACCTATATTTAATTTAAGTGTCTCCTAGGTGACACTTAATTTGTTTTTCCTTCCATTTACACTGCTCTGAAAACGCGAAAACCCACCCAACACTATTTTCACAACACACCGGTTAATTGTTATGCAATATTCGACTTCAAAGGGTTCAAGTGCAGAGTAGTGCTATAAGCTTTTGGTAAAAGAACCGTTCAGCCATAAAAGCTCTCTATTGTTGTTGCCTGAACACCAAAATTCTAGCTTAATGTTGTGTGGAATGCAAATTTGCTTTCTGCAACATTGTTGCTCTAAAATGAGGTGTTTAAAATATTCTTTAGCATAGTTATACAACACCTTACAGGACAAATTTTTAACTGCTGCATAAACGTTTATACAACTATTTTACACGGCATATTTGCACGTTAGTCAAAATGGTTGTGTTGTGGCATCCATGGTAACGTCTATAAAACAAACCCGAGCCTTGTTGTTTTGCTGTGCATATTACTACTTTAGCCAACAAGCACTTATACAACTGTTGATTAGTAACTGTTAAAGGCTGTACAAATGCTAAATATGTTGGTATAAAACTTCACCATAACCTAACTTTCTGCTGTCATATTTTTGTTAAAATGCCATAACCAATGATTTAAGACAAACAACGCATGCATATTGGTTTAACTGTTCAGACACAATATATAGATCTGGTACAAATTCTGGGTAAATCATTCGAATCTGTCGGCATTTCATTTCAGACATTTGTCAAATTGTTGTATAACACCTGCAGGCAACACCAAAATCTTCTAATAAACTGATTATACACAACCATCAGCCATATTAGGCCATCATTTATTCCTCTATTTAATATTAAATAATTATGTTTCAGTTCGAAATTACAGATATAGATATAGATAAGTGATAAACATTAGTGTAATCGTGTCTAAATATAGGATTTGTGGAAGATTTGACGTAGATAAGTTCAGTTTTCCATCTTAAAGATCTAGACATACTTTTGATCATTATCAACATATGCATCAAATAAGAAGCCCGTAGAAATTGCGTAACTACTTTGCACGATAATCACAATAAAATTTGCTGCACAAGTAAATCAATAGCCCTATATCACAGTGTAGAAGTTTATCATATACCTGTGTATGAAATTCACAATGGCCGATATGTAAGTAAACAAGATGACTGTAATGTGTTAGTTATATATTCTTCACTTCGTCTATGCAATACTTAAGAAATAGTTTGGTTGCAATAAAGTAGAATCACGTAACAGAATAGTTGTATAGTTGACAAAAACTGAATCTTGCACTGACGCAATGTCCTATAGCGGCTGCAAGGGGCTTACACTTTTGTTGTATAACTGTTACCTGCAGCCCTTATATAACCTCTTAAATGACTGCCCATTCCGCTTGCATAGCTGTTCTAAGAGGGTTTTGCCAATGTTCTTACAGTATACAATGCTGTGTATGGAATACTGTATAATCATTCTTGCAACTCTAATAGGAGTGATAATTGTTAGTTGGGAATTGACGAATTATGGTGACAATTGTTTCGCGTATTCTGAGGACATTTGACGTTTTGGTGTCGTGTCTTGTACCTTTAAGAATGGCAGATAACCTCATGCTCGCTTGTCACTTTGGAGGGCTAAGCGCCCTTTTGGAAACGCTATACCTACCCCAGGAGATCCTGGGCCTTGCTGGTTTTACGTGGGACAACTTTAAAATTGCAATAATAGCAGTAACATACAGTATAGTAACACGTAAATGAAAGAACAACTAAACGAAGTGTTACCTGGAAGACGGATAAACAAAATATGTTGTCTAAAGAGTCAATTGAACTTGACAAGGGTCACCGTTGGCACCGACACGTCGTACAATAAAGAAGAATTTTAAGCATATATGTGGTTTGACTCGGTCAAACAAACATGAGGAATGATCATAATAAAAATCATAGGATAAGTTTCAGACGCAGACACATTAAATACATTCCTTTTTTGTTAGAACTGGGTAATAGAGTAAAACCCATATCACGAGAGGTAGCATCTTAAAACTGTTTGCTGTGACAGAATACGTATACACACGATTTAGTAAATCACTGCACTATCAGAAAGTTTACCAATACAGCGAGTATAAATCAAGTGACAGTCCAAATCAAACAAACTCGCTCACAGATTTATGCGTCACGGTAGTTTGGAGGATGTATTGGAATCAAGAAAATATGACTGCAAACATGCAAAGTGATTCATAGACCAAGTTCAAAGCAAATCTTCTATGAAAAACCATACGACAAAATTCTTATTACATGACAAATGCCTTCCGCGAAAATTGAGTAATTTGTAATACTTCCTAGATATTGATCAGAAATATAGCTCTTACTATTAATAGTTGAAAAAATAAAATTATTAGAGCAATGACAAGTCAGAGAGATGACTCTGTCGCATACTTCAAAGATATGGTATTTTTGTTTTAGCACTGTTTTTATATGATTGGTGACAGTATAGAGAATGCACGAAGCTTAGCGGATTTATAAATACATTTAATAAATAAATGAATTGTAATGACTGCTTCAAGCACGTTATTAGTAATAATAATAAGTACATACACTACATATTTGTTTCAAGTCAACTAATAGCTTAGTTTCGCTATGATTCTACTTAATTTCCTCTTCTGCTACTGTAGCAAAGCCTTATCTAAAAGCAATCTGATGAATACACCTAGCTCTAAAACGATAAAACATCTTGCCATTTTTCCAAGGTATTTCACCAAGCTGCTCATTTCTTGTTGAATCTGTTATTTCGTTTTCCCAGTAGTTTTGAAAGGATTTACAGTTTGTCAAAAATAATGAGTTATCGCAAATTGTACGGAACCATGATAAATAATTTTAAATATACTAAGTGACATATAAATCCGAACGTTGGTGAATGTATTTATCTTACTGTAAATAACAAGTGAAAAAATGTTCAGCCTTATCAGTTGGACATTCCGGTTTTTATACTGCTTTTTTTTAATTCACTAACGCTCTAAAAATGAATATTTCAGCCACAGTAAAGAATCAACGTTGGCGGATTTTGGTTCTTGACATCCTTTACGATCGGTTACGATGCCTAGATTACGGAGACCTGTACGATTTCGTCAACTTAGTGAGTTTGATAGGGGCCGTATAGTGGGACTTCGGGAAGCTGGACTTTCTTTTCGGGCAATTGCAGTTATAGTGCAAAGAAGTGTACACACTGTGGTTAGGTGTTGTCAGGCATGGCTTCGAGAATGCCATACGCAAAGAGCAAGGGGCACTGGACGCCGCCGTAGAACAACAGACCGTGAAGATCGCCGCCTAAGATTATTGGCCTTAAGGGACCGTTTCTCCACTACCAGGTCCATTGCAAATGAATGGTTTGCAGAACACGGAAGACCTATTGGCATGCGAAGTGTTTACCGACGAATGAGAAGTTTTGGCTTGTTTTCATACCGGCCACACTGGGTCCTCCCTTTAACTCGAGAACACCGACATAATCGCCTTGAGTGGTGCAGACAACGGTCAATCTGGAATCAGGAATGGAACAGTATTGTCTTTAGTGACGAGTCTCGATTTTGTTTAGGCATGCACGATGGTCGTGCCAGGGTTAGAAGGCGACGTGGTGAAAGGAGGAATCCACAGTTTTTTGTTGAAAGACATGTTCATCACACTGTTGGAGTTATGGTTTGGGGTGCTATAGCTTATGGTTCCAGATCACCTTTAATCTTCATCAGAGGTAACATGAACGCGCAGCGTTATATCCACGAAGTTCTAGAACCCCATCTTTTACCCTGTCTTGACACCCTGGCAGATCCAACTTTCCAACAAGATAATGCCCGACCACATGTTGCAAGAGTCACAATAGACTTCTTTCAACATAATGATGTCACATTGTTACCATGGCCACCAAGATCTCCCGACTTATCCCCAATTGAGCACGTGTGGGATATGATGGGTACGAGATTGCTCAATTTGCAACGTCCTCCTCTGACTCTAGAAGCACTTCGAGAGGAGTTGGTGGTTGCCTGGAATGAGATACCACAGGAGGACATTGACCACCTGATCAGAAGCATGCCTAGGCGCGTTGGAGAATGCGTAGCACATCAGGGTGCATCCACACATTATTAAAGGTCAAAGGGCTTTAAAGCGGTGCAATCATTTTGAAATTTTTATCATTTACTTATTATGCTTCATTAAGTACTTATACAAAATTTTATTAAAATAAAACCATTTAAACTGGGTGTTCGGATTTATATGTCACTTAGTATACTCTACTAATAGTATAATCATATTAGCAAATTTCCCAGAAATAATTGTAAAGTCTGGTTTTATTGGTGCAAATTGTTCAAGGGGTATTTCAAACATGGACGCATAAAATGGGTACACCAATTTTTGTGGGAAAACTTGCTATTTGACAACAGACAATGAGTAAACGTGTTTTTTGGGATTCGATCGAAAGTGTTGAGAGGAACGAAAAAACTGGTGTTATAAGATTTTTAGGTATGTATGAGACCTACAAAACGAAACCACACGTGAAAAGAACCAACTAATAGCAAAAACGTTATAGCCGAAAGACGAGGAAAAATGCAGTTTTTGGCACAATTCTTCAAATCCATACTTCTAAATAACAAAAACAAAACTGGATTATATTGGTCGAGTAGTTTTTTGAGAACATCTAAATGTTTATCCCTGTTTTCCGGCTAACACTACTAGTTGATTGAGCCATTTACAGGGTTCGCTCAAATAGCATTTAATACGAGTAGCAAAATACACGTGTTTACCTTGCCGATATGAATCACAAACCGTTCCGGAAGATAAATGTAATTTTTATGCGAAAAGGAAAGGTTACGTTTTTTCTTCTCAACAAATACAAATATTTCGTATTTGTGAATAATTGAACAAATGCGCCACGATATTCGAAAATCATACGTTACCATACACATCTTTGAACAAAGCGCATGTATCTATCATCTTTTGATACGAAGTACTCACAAATACGAAAAGTTTGAATTTGTTTAGAAGAAACTAGTTCTGGGCTGCGCTTACCCTGGGCATGCGTAGAAAAATAATTTGGAGTTAGTTCGGAACTATTTGTTGGAACATATCTTAAAGTCGCTATCAAA